GACTATACTAGGAGATGACTCGCAAGTGTCATAGAGTATACAGATTTCCTCTAAATGTGTAGCCAGGAGAGATGGCTTCCCTAATTCACAGCTCCTACTCCTGGATACACAGCAGGACTACAATGTTCACCCACACTTTAGTGACTCAGTAGGTTATTACTAATGATGAGGTTTGTTTGATTCACCCATGCCCCTTCAAAACTCTGACCACTTCCCCCTTCTCCTGACCCAATCAGTTGCAAGAAAGCACATTCCCTACCCCACAGCTATAGGTCACATAGGGGTGCAAAACCCTGATGCAACTTCTGATTTGGTTGGGAAGACAGGGTGTCGGTCAGACTTTTGAGGGGACTTGGGCACACTCAGGCAAACTGGGTTTAAACCAAGGCCAGCCTCATCACTGATTACTACCATTATCTTGGATTTATTTTCTCAGAGAGGGAACAACTAAGCAGATACATTTTGTAAAGTTTCCTGTCCTGTACTGAACACTAAGAGCCAGGGCTTGATTAACACATTAGTCTTCTGTTGTGGTGTGTTACACGCATCTTGTAATGCACATTATTGTGCATTGTGTTAAGGAGGCCCTTTCATTTTGAATGTGCTGCTAAAGCATCATAACGCACACTAAATGCACCTGATCTTTTTTTTTTGGCGCAGCTATTGTGATGATAATGATGTTTGAGTGTATTAATATTAAATATAGCATTCTCTTGTCCCCCAGTTCAAAGCAAATGCAGCCCTTCATTTAGTCATTTGTCAGGTTGCTCTACATTCCAAAAAACAGAGATCTGCTACTCTGGTAATCTAGCCTGTGACCTTAACTTAACAAGTGCAAGTCCCAAATCACCCTCTAAACCTTTTTATAGTTGCCGCTAATTAAAGGCATGCAGGCAGGCACTCATCTATTAGCAGTTGATAAGTTGATATAAACACATGCAGGCCTGCTAGATTTAGCAAGCCAGATGACCCAGCATCCACCCAAAAGTCAGAAACTGAGTTACAATATCAGCTCCATTTCATAATTTGGAATTGGATAGTGATATTGTAAAATTAAGTGCATAAGGCCTTGTTCACACCAAGCGCGGAGCAGGTGCAGAGCAGATCAGTTGCAGACCGGATCAAAACTGCGTCCAATGTATTCCAATGGTATTTTTTGCTCCAGTTCACATCGCAGCGTGCAGTTCCAGAGCAGGTCCAGAGCAGGTGAAAAAACTGCAGCAGGCCCTATTTTACCTGCTCTGGATCTTCTCTGGATCTGCAAAGCCATCAAAAACGCATGCAAATGCCTGGAACGCACTGAAAGCCCATTTTAAACTTTAAAAAAATATATATTTTTGTTATAGCAAAAAACGCGTCAAAAACGCATCAAAACGCATCTAAAAGACTAGCATACGTGTGCAGAAACCTGACCGGATCTGCTCTGCATTTGGTGTGAACAAGGCCTTAATAGCTGTGTCTCGTCACAATGAGAACATAGATACCAAGAACAAATAGTTTAGAATGATCCACGGTATCCACTTTCTATTCCCTTTTATTTTGCTGTTGTATATATATTTTGTCTCTTTTTATTAAATCTTTTTCTGTATATTTTCTGCACCGTTTCTTTTATTAAAGGACGATCTTAAAAATCGTTAAGCTTATCTCTACAATCTAAATACGAACTTAAAGTAACCTTGCCTCTGTGAAGAGCACTACTGTATATTGAATCCTGTCATATTCCTGTCTGAGAGAACAGTGGTATCATAGGCTTTGTTTAGGTTTTTTTGAAGTGTCACAACACTTGATGGGATCGGTGTGTACTTCTGTTAAAGTAAGTTGTGGCATTGAACGTTTGGTCTGTAAAGGGATAACTGCGGAGTTAACCAACCCTAGTGACGATCACTTCCAGTCTGCTGGCCTGAGATTGTTGTCTTGAGAGCTGGGAAATCTCTGTGCAGGGTGAGGCTGAGAGTGGTATCACCACGTCAATGTGACGCCGCGCTCGGTTCAGACTTGTGTATAGTCACGGGTGATTGACGTACAGCGGGTTCGGGCCGGGCGTATGTCACACAGCACATCACAATGCACTGCATATGCTTGGGGTTTTATTCACATTGAATGAAACATGCATTAAATGTCCAGCACTTAGGCTAGGTTTACACATTTGCGTTTCCACTCTTGTACATTTTGACATGTTTTTGAGTGTGCGTTGTTGCACATTTTGTACATGCGTCATATACATTTTTAATGAATTTTCCTACATCATGCTTATTGACCTATAAAAAAAACTATTTACACTGTGACATCGTTAGTCATCAACTTTGAATCTGCTTCCTGGATTCTTGCGATGGGTATTGGTGTTTGTAATGCAGTGACATGTCAGGAATGAAAGGCATCTTCTCCCACCTCTGTCCCTCCTAAACAGGTTATACCCCTCTATATTAGTAGCCCAGTCATGCGTGCTGTCCAGCCAGGTTTCCGCTATACCCACTATGTCGAGGTTAATGTGAAGTACTGCAATGCAGTGGTCTTAATGTGTCCTAACAGTTATCACTATGTAGAGCACCCATGGGATGTTCGTATTTAACGGGGTCAAAAGGACTATTTCTCACCTCACCTTAGCATGCTTGCAGGAAGGATAGAAGACACGTATAATGAGGAAGGAGGAAATTGCATCATGCAAAATGGGAGGCTACACAGAAAATGAGTGCAATAAAAACAATGGCAACATGGTGGCAGCATAACACAGAACAGTTAACCATGACAATACACAGTAAATAAACACTAATTAACTTACATTGCCCATATAATTGCTGCAGGCAACCAGTTCTGTTCACAATGTTGGCATTGGATGCATGAAAATGTGATATTGCATTTCACTTTCCCTTATCTAGCAAAGCTAACATTTGTATGAATAGCAAACTTGTCTGCTGGTGAGCTCACAGGTCTGCATTGTGGTCCTGAACAACTGTGTAATAATAGATTTGTTCCAAAGGCTTCAAAGTAGCAAATGAGGTTGTGTCCCTTTAAGACGATCCACCCTAAAGAATGTCTCATCCCATCTCATCATTTATCATTTGTATCTTGCTAGCAGTTTCTCTTTGTACCTGTCTCTCAAACTATCAACAAATAAATGTGGATATGGTAGTAATGTGTTGCAACAAAGTAATGTAACTTCCCAAATCTGAGAAACAGTCATTGTAGTGCAAACCAACTTTGTGGAAACCATGTGTCCCTTACTATACAGTAGTCAGCTCTCCTCAGTCCTCTTAGGCAGACAGAAGACTAAGGCGAACAGGGGTGGACCTACAGAACAGAGGGCCCTGGTGCAAGATTTTTTCTTGGCCCCCCTTCCCGCTCCCAAGGGGGGGATCAGGACCGGATCTCACTGGCCCCCCAACCCCCTTTGTGGTCTCTGCACCAAAGGAGCTTACACTTTAATGTCCCCCTATCCTCACACATTATTATTTTTATACAATCATATAGCTGTGTCAGGGGCAGGGCCCTCCTTACCATCTTATCTTGAATTGTATTGTCATTGTAATGTCTGCCCTATATTGTAAAGCGCTGCGCAAACTGTTGGCGCCATATAAATCCTGTATAATAATAATAATAGCTGTGACATATACCTCAGTGCTGTACAGAGAACACAGAACCAGTCACATCAGTCTCTGTACAGAGGAGCTTACACTCTAATGCAAAATGGCATCAGCTATAGAGGACTACAAATCCCAGCAATACATTATACAGCAATGCAGAATAGTATATGAATTTGGTACATACTCTGTGCTGCCCCCTGTGTTCCGGCCTGATATCTCGGGTGGAGGGTCTCAGCAGGGGCAGGTGTGGAGGGTCTCACCATGGCAAATGCGGACAGTCTCATTAGGGCCATGTGGAGGGTCTCAGCAGGGGCAGATGATCTCACCAGGGGCAGATGTGGAGGATCTCAGCAGGGGCAGATACCGAGGGTCTCAGCAGGGGCAGATGTGGAGGATCTCAGCCGGAGCAGATGTAGATGATCTCTCCAGGTGCAGATGCAGAGGGTCTCACCAGGGCGGTATGGGCAGAATAGGAAGTTCTCACCAAAGTGACAGGAGCAGATGCAAAGCATGTCACAAGGGCAGCAGGGGAAGATGAGGAGCATCTCACCAGGGCGGCGGGGGCAGATGTGACTGCTCTGTCCCTTATCATCTTGTACAGGACAGGAAGTTCAGGGAAGCTGAGACAAGAGAGTTGGAGCCAGCTGTTTGGAAACATGATGACTGTAAGTGCTTGGGCAAAAATGCGGAATACTTTGCTGGGCAATGTAACTTTCTTTGATCTGGATTCATTATTGAAAAAACCTTTACGAGTTTAATACTACTTTAAGACCATCTTTCAAGCTTAAAGTGATAATAAATTCAAAAGGTTTTTAAGCTATTTTAAATTCTGATAAAATCACTTACAATGGTGCTCCTTGATGTGTAAAAGTTATAGTTTCCAAACGAATAAGCTGGTCCTCTGTGCACTGGCTCTGATATCCTGTTTTAGGTTGGCTTCTTTCCCTTGCAGAATCCTATGGAGCCTATGGTGGTGTCTCCACAAGCAAACAGACACAGCAAGGCAAGCCATTTCCCTCCTCCCTGCCCCCTGCCTCTCTCTTCTCCCTCCTCCAAGCTAGTAGATGGACAGCAGCTGAACAATGCTCTGTCCCTGGTGATCTTGTACTGGACAGGAAGTTCAGGGAAGCTGAGCTGAGATAGTTGGAGCCAACTGTTCAGAAACATAATGACTACATTTGCTTGGGCAAAAATGTAAAGAAATACTTTGCTGGGCAATGTACATTTGTTTGATCTGCATGTATTATTAAAAACATTTTGAGAGTTGAATACTACTTTAGTATAAGCAGATACAATCTGCTAACTGCAAAAAAATTGAGGAAAATCTTTCATTAGACATGAGACAAACATTACATTTTGGGAGGAAAATGAAAACATTTATGTACGCTTGTGTTAATTTTGTTTATTTTCTGTTGTCAGATGGCCAGTGTGAATTCTTCCTTTACACCTTCGAATATAAGTTCATCGACTTCTGGAACCTCGGCCAGCCTTGGTATTGCCATTCTTTCAGTGGCTTTGATCATCGGATTCCCTGGCAATGCATTTGTTATCTGGACAGTATTGACTCAAGTGAAGAAACGCACTGTAACCTGCATCATCATATTACATTTGGCTATTGCGGACATGGTATTGATCCTTACAGCACCTATATTCATCCATTTTCTGTCCACGGGCAACTGGGTATTTGGGAATGTCATTTGTAAGATGTGCCATTACATCGGCAATTTGAGCATGTACACCAGCATCTTTTTAATCACTTTCATGAGTGTGGATCGTTTCTTTGCTGTGGCCAAACCGTTCACTTCTCAACAGGTCAGAACGAAGCCGGTTGTTCGGAGCATAATGTTTGGTATATGGATATTAGCAATGCTGTTTGCCATTCCAATGCCAATAAATCGATCAGTAGAGACCAAAAACAACCGTCAACAGTGTGTTACTGTCCAAGGTGAGGAAGATGGGGTTAAGCACCATCTAGTCTTTCAGTATTTGTTTGAGACTCTGATGGGGTTTTTTATCCCTTTTACAATCATCCTTTCCAGCTACATCTACATTGGAATAAGGTTACTTCGAGCTAAATTTCAATCGAAGCAAAGGACAAGCCGGCTGGTTATAATAATCATATTAACATTTGCCCTCTTTTGGCTTCCATACCATGTGGTGAATATGCTGCAGGTGTCTGGAGAATTGTCTTTATCAAAAAGCCTAAGGGAAGCATCTAAATTTGCTCGACCAAATGCCACAGCCCTTGCGTTTTTCAGTAGCAGCATTAACCCCATTTTGTATGTATTTGCTGGTGGCAACTTCATAAGGACAGCTGGAGTTGGATTCATGGCCAAGCTCTTTGAAGCATCTGGCTCAGAGGCGGGCAGTATTCGGAAAGTCTCCCAAGTCTTCCAACAAAGAAGTAGAAAGCAATCTACAGAACAAGGGAAACTAAAGGAAAATGTAGAGGAATAAACATGGTTAACTGGCCACAAATGGAAACATTCTTCCTAATCATGCTTTGATGTGCAGATCTTAGTGTTACCAGATGTCCATATTATCCTATTGGAGACACTGGGTATAAATAAACTTGGTGGATGGCTGGAAACATTTCACACGAGCTCATGGCCAGAGTTTATGTCACTGGAGCCTGTAGATGACTACCCAGTGCTAGGATCGCCTATTTCACAGAGCATTTTCTTGTTTTACTGCTCCTATACTGGGAAAAAAATACTTTGCCAATGTGCAAATCGGCTTATATGAGATGGCATCTTTGGGTATCCTGCGTTAAATTGTATTCCTAAAACCAGCCATGCATTCTCTTTAGAGAGATACAACTAAGCAGCTATGATTGGATCTAGTCCAACTGTTTGTAGAGGTGTAAATTGATATATTTTGCTTACATACAGGACTTGAGGCATCACATTAACTGAGAGGCTATTCACTAAAGGATGAAGAGTTTGGAGAAGCCAGGAGAACTGAACAATCTAGGACAACATAGCTGACTAGGAAAGTGAGCTGAATTGGCGAAGGTTTTCCCAAATCTTCTATTTTGTCCTAGATTGTTCACTTATCCTGCCTCCTCCAAACTCTTCATCCTTTTGTGAAAAGCTCTCTAAATGTTTTTACTTCTAACTATAAATCAACACTGCAAATTAATTAATATTTGATTTATTAATCTTTGATTTATTAAAATTTTATGAAATGTATATGACAGAATGATTGATAATTGAGAGTGCTGCCTATATTGTGACTGAGTTTAGCATTGATTTTAAAGTCTATGAAAACCCTAACAATGGACGTCTACTATTTGCTCCTTTTGTGTCTGGTCAATATACCATTGAAAGGGTTTAGGTATAACTGCAAAGATACCTCTTGATCCGGTCATCAATTCAGAGCTGTATGTGCACTCTGCATGTGTTATCTTAAGGCGTCTAAACAGTTCTACTAGTTCTTCCCTTGGATTACAATACACCTACACGCTATCATGTGAAAAAGAGAGGTGTTATGTAGTTCATAGAAAGATAACTAGGCAGGGCTGACACCATTCCGTGCAATTTCGGTCCAGCAAATGCAGTGTGTTGTAGGCTTACAACAGGAAATTATGAGCTGAGTACAGTATCAACAGGTATTATCTATATTTGTAGGTTATGTAAAGGTATAAAACAAGGAGGGATGTGTGTGTGTATTGCAGGAATGTATTGCATTTTTTTTTTCTTTTCCCTGACATACACTTTAAGTGGGTACTGGTGTTAAAATGAACAATTGGCACTTGTGATTGCTTAAAAGAGAACTATTGGGTAACCTTTTATCCCATAGTTCTCTTTAGGGTCACAGGAGGACATATACTAACGTCCTCCTGTTACGCAAATCTCAGTATATACAGGAGAGGGCTATTTCACGCTATATGCTGAAAGCGCTGCAGCTGGGATAGATCCTGACAATAGTGACGAGATCCTCCGCGCTGGCTGATTGACAGTGGCAGAGCCGTAGCTAGCTCCTTTTGCGCATGGGCAAGAACAGAAATTTGATAGTGCTGTGTTTCTTGATCATTTAAGAACAGAAAATTGTGCCCTCCCAGCAGACATGTGTTGTCACCCGACACGCGCATATGCGGCGTCATGTGACGTCATGCACCCCGCCTCCAGGATGGCGGCGCGCATGCGTTGAATGCGCCGGTAGCCAAATCCAAAATAGCATATATGTTTCGTGTGACAAAACGAATATAAACATTTTTAGTTTCCGTTCATTTCGTCCAAAACCGATTATTAGTCTTTGCACATCTCCAATAATAAGTGTGCGTGAGTTTTTATACTGTTGGGGGAGCTTCGGGGAAATATCAAGGCTCTAAACAGATATTTACCGATCCTCCGCTCTGCCATCCTGAGCACTGAAGCCAGCGGGGGGGAGGGGAGGGGGCGACTGAGGGAGCGTTGTCACTTCAGGATGGCTGAGCGGTGAGGAAAGAAAGAGCCGCCGGCTGTCAGATCCTGGCCGAGCGGCTCTTTCTCTCCTCACCGCTTGGCTATTGGCCTGGCTGCGCCCCCTCTCAGCTGCGCCTGAGGCGAGTGCCTCACTCGCCTCATGGTAGCTACGGCCCTGGACAGCGGGCTCTGCCAATCTAGAGTCAGAGCCAGATATGCCTATCCCCTCCCTCGTCTGTCCTTCCAATCAGTGCTGGAGGATCGAATTGGGGAGAGGGGGAATCCCTGTGGGTTGCAGTGACTGACAGTCACTGCTCTCTGCAGGGAGATGTTTAGGAAGTGAGCGTGCTCACTCGGCTCTCTCCTCCTGTCAGCTTTTTCCTTGCCAGGACTTTGCATGCAGCCTGCCTGACTGGCTCCCTATTCTGCCTTTCCATCTCCTAGTCTGAGCTCTGCTTTACAAGAGATTGCAAGAGGTCAATATCAAATGCAAGTACTAACACGAGTTGCATAAAAAAAAAATGAATGCAATTATTTATAAATGAATACATAGCTGCACTTACTGTGTCTTTTCTATCTGTTTGGCATTCATATTTAAAGGAAACCCATACCTTGTGAATTTTAGTCCGCTGTTACCAACTGCCTTCCAAAAATGCTATGTCTCTAATTGTCTATGGCTTCAACACTTTCTTAGTCAATGTCCACCAATGGGGCAAAGTGAATTTAACCCACCTCATTTACATGCTTGTCGAGGGTTCATGATTCAAAAAGCATCAGCAATAGCCAACATTTTATCAAAGCTGAAATCATCAATGGCAGCCTATATATTTTCTTACTAATAATTACGTGAGGGCTCCGCTACACATGCGTTTTTGGTCACATAAGAAAGGGGTTTTCATGCTAATAACTCTTTCTAAAAATAAAACTTGTGGTTGCTTATATATAGTGTATACAAAGCTATATCAGGATAGATAATGGGGAAGCACTAAACCAAGAAAAACGTATACAACTTTAAGCTCTAATAAGTGTTACAATCCGCAGACACAGTGTGAAGTAGCAGTTTATTACTATTACAGGAAATAGCAGATAGAAAGATAGAAGTGACAAGTGTTTAGGTGAACACAATATAGAGACACAGTTCTGCAAACACATATGTTTCATTTCCTACACAAGTACATATTGGGTGATTTTTAACTGCAATTATATTATTATAAATTTTTTTAAAATTCATTATGAATATATTCCATACAGCTTGGATGATGGTATTATACCAAAAGAAAATTATGTTTAAGCAGTATCATACCTCATTCCCACTCAACTACAAGAAAATTAGCGACTTTGACTGACATTGAGCTACATTGAGCTACAGTGCACATTTTGTCGCGCTACGTAGCGCTTCTTTTGGCAGTCTATCAAAGTCTATTGGGGCCAAATCGCTTGAAATTCACGAGCTTCAGCTACAAGCTACAGGCAACATTGAGCTGCAAGATGTGAACATCCCCATTGAAATGCATTGGAAGAGCTACATTGAGCTACACTGAGCTTCATATTTGAGCGATTTATGAGCGGAAATCACTCTACAATACACAGTATATAAGATAGGGTGGCTCAGTGCCAAAAACATGTTCTTCCTAATGTCCCCATGTTATATTCATTCCCATTAAAAATGTCTTGGCATATTCATGTATTTAGAAGAAAAAAAAAACACATGCATGTCATGCCATTCTTTTTAAAGTACATTTCCACCTTTGTAAGTGATTAGCATTTATTTTGGTAATGTAGAGGTGCATTGATGATGTATATGTGTGCACATTTTCATGACTCACATTGCTGCCTTTCTTCATTTTTAATGAATGTTTATTATGCCTGAATCCTACAAATTCAAAATTTTCTCCATAGGAAACTCAGTCTGACACTGGGGGGCAGATTGTTAATTGGTTACATAAAGCCCCAACCGCCAACCAGTGACAGGTACTCTTTGATGCATAAGAGTACTGTATTATCCATAACATCCTATCCTTATCGAACTAAATAGTATTAAGACACATCACCTCACATTACATGAAGCACATTACAAGTGTTATGTTTCTCCAGTGGCAGACATGTTGGCAGATGCTTTACCTGCAAGAAAACAACAGGACAACAAAGTCCACAACAAGTCCAACAAAAGCAAAAAAGTATATCAATATTGTAAAGTCCATTTAAGCAATAACTGTACATCTTTTAGAAATAATAGTATTATTATACAGGATTTATATAATGCCAACAGTTTGCGCAGCGCTTTACAATATAAGGAAGACATTACAATCACAATACAAAACAAGACAAGATGGTAAGGAGGGCCCTGCCCAATAGGGTGGAAACCGCAGTTAACATCTTAACCATGAAGATCAGTCCTGGCAAAAGAACACGCTCCAAATTGTGTACACACTCATAGAGAATAAAAGTCCTAGTCCATACAAAATTGTCACCTGATAACATACTACGGTGACCAAGGGTTCTCATCATAAACTGGTTGCAAACATCTGGAACAGTTTAAATTTTACAACTGGCAGTCCAGGAAACAAAGGCCAGCAGTCTTCTCATCCAAGTGTCAAAATGCCCTGTTTTTTCCACCCTCAGCCTGCAGCGCCCTCAGGCGGCCGCTTGCCTTGCCTTGCGGTAGCGCCGGGCCTGCATCCAAGGATACATGGTAGCACTACTGGCATAGAAACAAAATCCAGCAGTCTTCTCATCACGGGATTGTTGTCACCACTGGCAAACAGAAACAAGACAGCAGTGAGCTGTCAGCTGTCAGGAGGCTGAGCTCTCCTCCTGCACTGCCCCGCTCAGCCTCCTGTGACAGGCAAGTCAGGATTGAGAGCGACTCACAAGCGATCAGCAATCAGCTGATCGTTGAGTGTTTGTAAATAACTGAGAGTTGAAGAAATAAGTCACCAGCACTCCACGATTTAAAATGAATAAGTCCTTTTAATGGACAATGATGTCACAGAAATCCAACATGAGCCGACGTTTCGGGGCCACGCAGGGTCCCTTCTTCAAGGCAAGAGATGTGACCTCTGTGTTTTGCACGGTGCCATCCGTGAAGTTACTGCGAGCACCATCTTTTGATTATTGGCCGGGACTGCTGAAAGGTGTGCGGAGGGC